TGGAGTAAGATTAGGTATGTGAGTTACCCTTTGGGGTGTCCTTTCTGGAAGCTTTTCAGTCTGCTTTTATGTGAAGCTCTGTAATGGCTGCTGCTGTATGAGGCTGGGGCCTTGCTTTCTTTTAGTTTCTCCAGTTCATCTTTCACAGTGGGATGGGAGTGCCCCCTTATGGTTATGCTCAGCCCTGCAAAGCTGGGGCTGGGCCTGGTACTGGCTTTCTACACGCACTCTGTGGACATCCTGGAAGCCCCTTGTTACTTGGGGTGTGCTCTGGATGCAGGTGGGAATCCCCCAATCAAGTAGTTAAAGCCTGACAGCTTCACTGTCACAGGGAACATGTGGATGCCAGTTGGCAGCTAAAGTGATTACAGCTTGTGTCATGTGCTTTGACTTAGGCTGCTCTCTGCCAAGCTTATTTTGACTCAGCCAGTAAAGTGTGGTTATCTGTTTGTGACAGCTTGATGCCCTTGTAAAAAACATTCTTCATACTTCAGTGATGTCATTTCAAGATGGCCACAACCTAAAGCATGTTCATTGCTAATAATTTTATCGAACATTATACATTTATGTAATTTGTGCTGCATCACGCCCGTGCCCATGCCAGTCAATGCAGCAGGGTCATAACTTGTATACAGACATCCTTTTAGGAAGAACGTTGATATGTATAATACCTTAATATGTTATAAATGTATATGTAAATACGTTACTAATAATCAAGATTTACTTTATTTAAACATAAGCATTATCTCACTGCCAGATTATTTTTTGCATTTGTTTTATTATACTATTACTTTGATCTCCATTACAAAATTTCACTAATTTTAAGAATTTGACTTTGCTCATGGCTGTAATTTCTAGATTTAAAAATTTCAGTTTTCTTTGAATGAGCAAATCTTGTTTTACACAGATGATCTTTATAAACATTAGCACAAAAGACTAAGAAAGTCTGCTGACAAGTTCAAGGTTTCTTCCTCCAGTGTCCAGTGTTTCCCAGGCATTTTTCTGAGCAAAAAATGTGGCCCAGAGGCTGTAATTAAAGCGCTGCCGGCTAGAGCTTGTGCTGTGCATTTCCTGCAACAATGACGCGCTTCTTCTTTTGTAGTAGCTGACTGCGCCGTGACCCTGGCTGCTCGCAGGGAGGCCACTGAGAGAGAGAGAGAGAGTGAGAGAGGGACGGAGGGAGAGAGAGACAGACGCCAGGGGGGAGGGCCTGACTACACCGACTAATGTGTCAACCACGTGGATCCTCGTTACCATGGCAGCCTCTGAGATACAGCCAGTTTTCTTTTCCCCCTCCACCCCTCGCCCAAATCTACCCCCTATTACTCAGACAGGATGTAGAAGCAGCTTGCTATGAGTGTGCGCTTTTTTTTTTTTGTACATGGCCTCAGAGCAAGAAACAGTGGGTCAGGGGAGAGACTGTGACTGATGGATGAACTCTGCCCCCTCCTTCTTCCCCTCCACAACCACCAGCGAAGGCTCTAGTTACACCGGCTAGCATCTAGGGTCACACCGTTCTTGATAAGTTTCATTATCTCACACATACAGCGCCACTTCCCTCCCTGCACTTTCTCTCTCTCTCATAAGGTAAAGAGGAGGCAGAAAAAAGTAAGAAAATCGGCTGGCTTGGCAGACTAATGGCTCTGGCCGGGCTTGATTGATTCAGTGAAGTAATCTGCAAATGGAATACATTAAGGACGGCGGAGAGGAGAGCCGTGCAAATGACTAGGAGACAAGCGAAGGCACAGTGAGCATGTAGAGCAGCTGAGGATATGCAAGAAAATTGACGAGCGGAAATGCTGCCTGTAATTTTCCACATTCATTACCACTTAAAATGTAATAGTAATATACTTTTTAACCACTTCAAATTGTCTATCTTTTGCCATTGTGCTAGCACAGTTCTGCAGCTCCGAGCTCTGAAGTTCCATGTTAGGCAATGCTGGGAACACACAAAATGGCTGCCATAAAGGAAAGCTTGCTGCTCTGTGCTACTCTCCACAACATGACTTTCTCCCATTTTCCATTATCGCAGAAGGGGTCTTATGTGTTTTCTCTGCACAATAATGTTATTACTTCATCAGTATGTTGACCATTACAATGCCGTGACCTTCCCTAATCTTATTAAAGTGTATTTTTTTATTTAAACTTATATACCAGCTTATCCATTCTAACATTTGTTACTTCTTCTCAAGAGTTGTCCCCTATATCATTTTGCCTAATGTTGACTGTCGAGAGCCACGGCAGCATCACCATCGCACACACCCCCCTCCCTCCCTCCCTTCCCTCCCTCACGCTGTCCGGCTTGTGCAGTCAGCAGAACAGACTGGTGCTGTGCAGTATCGAGCCGGGAAAAATCAATGACTGCAGAGTAGGAGTCGGTAGGAGCCTCTGTGCTTGGATGTGCTCGCTTGTGTGGAATGATTATGCCTATCTGGGCTGAAGCATCGCAGCAGTCAGATATTTACAGAACGTACAAGATCTTATCATGTGCTGTATGCAAGCTGGTATAGATGGTGAATGCAACCTAGTGCCCAGTAGTCAGACTTTCAATAAAAAACTATATTTACCCAACTGAATAATTAAGACAAGGTGCCAACCATCTTTAACTATGTTAGGGTCAGACTCAACACATATGACCTGTAACAATGATGATAATATTAAAACTACTTTATACTACTGACTCGAAGTAAGATAATCCCAGTAAGCCTATTTTTAAATAGACACTATTGTTAAAATGCCTGAGCTCCAACAAATAAATAGCAGAAGGAACCAACAATTAGCTATAGTAATTATAGCAATTATTTATTCCACCTTCTGTGGATTTGGTCTTGCGTTAGTCCATAAAATGGCAAAAATTTCCCCGTTATTTTAAAGAAATTGCACACAATATAAATTCTGAGCCCAGAAATATATTGTTCCAAGCTTTCACATATTGAATGATATGTTGATATTGTAATTATCATCACAGGCCTAATATGGCTTTTTTTGGTAATAAAAAAATACCAGAAAAGTATTAATGCAATAGGCACAACAGAGTCTATTCTTTCAGTGCCATATAAAATTCTTATTTGAGGAGACCTAGATTTTTTGCTGATCAGCCAATTAAATACTTTTCAATTATCTTTCAATGATATTTAGTTTTGCAAGGTTGATTCAGTTGGAATTTTGCATGTGGAAAAAATGTTCTGATTATTTTTTTGTAAGCAGCAATTGTTGGCTTTGTTGTCATTTTAATAAAATATGCCAGTCAATGGTTTTCAAATTGAAATATTGAACTGATTTTTAGCTGACAATACATGATAGATTTTTGCTTTTGTGCCAAATAAACCGCTAATACCTAACAAAATTACTTACTCTGAATGCATCTAGGCTTTTTTATTCACTTGTCAATTACAAAATGTGAAACGTACTTTTGTCTCTATAATTTATGCCCGACTGATTAATAGGTTCCCATGTTCACTGGTCATGGGGGTCACTTAAGTGGTACTTAAAAAGCACTTCCTTTTAACCGCACGCACCCTGTGTTTTATTACCATTTTGCTCCTGTTTTCCTACCCATAACTGAGATGTCTCTGTCTGTGTTCCTCTGTAACCTTCTCCCTAAAAGCGACCTTCGACCTTTCTGGCCAGTGGTCACATTATAGGGAGCTTGGTGTAAAATGGCCTTTTTGTGAGCGGAGGCTGTTATCTCCGGCTGCATCATTGCTTCTGGGGTGGTCACCGCATCCAACGACATGGGGCCTTGGTGTTGTCAGATGACCCAAGTCTTGTGATGCCTAGGTAGAAAAAGGGGGGATGTGGGTCAGCTGACAGTATTGGTTACAGAGAAAAGGAGCCCGCCATGGTTGTTTAAGAAAGGAATGTCATGCCGTTTGATCTCCTGCTCCCCTCCACTGCTTTTACCATCCCAGCACTCCCCCCTGCCTTCTCCTGACCCTCTTTTTCGACATTTGTGAACATTAATTGGGTACCAGCCACCGTAACACTTAAGAGACTGGGAAGCCGCTCACAAAAACCCTCCTGTGGCGCCTTGCATAGTTTCACATTGTTTTGGTGCTGTCACTACTTCTCCTGTGCGGGTTACAAAGGCGCAGGTCGGCAAAGTCAAAAAAGCCAAGAAAACATTGAAGCGAGGGCAGTGTGAACAAGGTGGGGGGGCGTGTTGTGTTGGGAAGGGGAGTATTGTGTGGCGACTGGGGGCTGCTTTCTGAATCAGCGTTCTCCTCCTGTCACTCCCTCTGGGGTTCCTCCATCAGGTCATGTTCCCAAAAATAGCACCGGGCGCCGTTTCAAGTGCAAAAACCGCCGGCTTCGGGGGTTGCAGCCAGCCTGTGCAAGTGTGAGATTTCTATGGGAAGAGTTGGCCACCTTCCAGTTAGTGCAATCCACCCACCCGTGCCCCTCCCCCTGCTCATTTTTCCCCCCTCTGATGTGACTGGCAGATGAGCTTGCATTTCTGAGAGCACATGGGCCCCACGTGAGCAGTGTAAACATTCACCTTCCCACAAACATGGTGATCGCCGGCTGCCTCCCTGCCTGGCTCTGTGTCACAGCCAAAGCTTGCTAACAACACCACATGGCCCTGGAGTCTATGCCCAGTACCAATTATTTTAATTGCCTACTGGGATTCTGGTTTCAAATAACTACCACTTCATCTTTACAATCAGCATACTGTCTTTATTTTATTTCTCTTTGTTTGAGTTTCTTAAAAACACTTGAGTGATGCAGCCTAATTTAGCTTTTTAATGTTACTATTTTCTGACTGTTGAATTCATTTTGTGATATTTTTACACCCCACATAAAGTAGTTTAAACATTATATTTTTCTTTTTTTCCCCCTTTTTGTTTTTTATAAAGGAAAATATTTGACCAGAACTGGTGCCTGTTGTTTTGTTGTGGGAGGGGCATAATGATAGCATAGTTATTCATTCAGAAAACAAAAATTATGTGCTAAAGAGCTCCTTGGTTTTATTTAATCTTTTGTTTTTCCTTCTGTTTTAGGACCTGTCCGGCTCCATCGATGACCTGCCCACTGGTACAGAAGGGGCCTTGAGCCCTGGTGTTAGCACTTCAGGCGTGTCAAGCAGTCAAGGCGAGCAGAGTAACCCCGCTCAGTCACCTTTCTCTCCACACACCTCACCCCACCTGCCCGGCATCCGTGGACCCTCACCATCACCTGTGGGCTCACCCGCTAGTGTCACCCCCTCCCGCACTGGACCCTTGTCACCAGCTGCTGTGCCAGGTAAACTGTGGGCATGTCCCTGCTCACATTTGATTGAACTATAGGAATTGTATTATTTTAGGCCAGTTGGAATGGTTTGCATTTGTGTATTATAGTTTTATTCTAATATTTTTAAATACAATTTCAACGTATTTTACACTGTGTAGACCAGGTAACGATAACAGTTGTTAAACTGTACTGGACTATAAAGCAGCCATATGTTTGTTGGCTAAGTGCATGCTTGAGGTAATGAGCAGCTGTACTTTTTTTTACAGTAAATACAGTGTAAACTCCAAACCTCATTTAGGCCCTTCTCAGTTCACAATTTAATTTGAAATGGACATGTAATACGTCTTGACTTAAAACGTACAACTTCTTTCACAGTCTTTGCTCTAGAACCGGTGACTTACCACACGCACACAAGTTTTAAACCAAATCAGGCATGAGAAAGTAATGTCAAAGATTCAGGCACAAAGGCCATGTGCCCACCATGGTATTTTTATCCTGCTGAATAAATACCACACAGGCAGAATTATTTGGGGCCTACAGATGCTATTTGTGGTACTTTCAGAGACAAAACTTACAAGGGATGCCTAAATGATGAGGGGTCACAACTACTGTAGCTCACATTTGAATGATCATAGTGCAGCATTCCAGACTGAAGTTTAATTAACATAATGCCAATTTCTTTGTGTGAAAGAAAAAGATGTTTTGCTTGCTGTATTAAAAGGTGTGTGTTCTGCAGGCAATCAGATGCCTCCCCGACCCCCCAGTGTTCAGTCAGACAGCATGATGCACTCGTCCATGAACCAGTCCGGGATGGGCCAGGACAGAGGTGAGTTTCAGCTGAAACTGTGATGGACTGACACAAACACAAGAATGTGTGCTATGACCCCTGGAGCTCTTGTTTCAGTGTTTGCGTTGGACAACATTCCTCCATGTAAACAGACTGGATCTTTAAATAAGACTTGTACATACTGTGTACACTCAGGTCAGATGAGGAGAACAGACAGATTTGTGGAGTAGTGTTAGTTTGCACTGGGTTACACAGTGTTATGTAATGAATGTTTGAAAAGACATGGTGTTTATTTTTACTTGGCTTTCACTAAAATGTGTGCAACAACATTTCCTCTTTTTCTACCCAGTGTATATGCGCAACCCCAATATGCCGCCTTATGGCTCACCTGGACAACCTGGCTCTGCCTTATCTCCACGCCAGTCTTCAGGAGGCCAGATGCATGCTGGGATGGGACCCTACCCCCAAAACAACTCTATGGGCAACTATGGGCCACAAAGTGGTCAATATGGTCCACAAGGTATGGGAAGAAAATGGGACATTTAATTTTCTTCTGTTATTATAATTATAATATTTGTATTCATGAGTTCGTGTACAAAAAAATTACAAATATATTAGATTTCTACAAAGAAATAAACGAGCTTAAGTTAGATATGTATAAATAACTTTAAATCTTAAAATGTATTCTGTGTTGCCTTTTTAATATGTCCAGGTTATCCCCGGCAGCCAGGCTACACAGGAATGCCGAATGCTAACTACCCAAGTGGCCCTGGGATGAGCGGTTCCATGAACCCCATGTCTGGTCAGGGGAGTGGGCCTCCTTATGGAGGAATGCCTCCTGGGAGAATGCCCCCAGGGCAGATGGGCACTCGACCCTATGGCCCTGGCATGGGCTCTAACATGACCAACATGCCTCCTCAGATGGGCTCAGGGATGTGTCCTCCTCCAGGCATGAACAGAAAGGATGGTGGCCCTGCCATGCACCATGGACCCTCTAACTCCATACATAACAGGTGTGTGCTCTGCTTTTGCAATGACATGTGAAGGAGACTCAGCACATTACATGAGGATTGTTGTCAGCAGAAGGCTTTTTAATGCTACAACTACAGTGTGTCTGAGCCTGTGCGTGTGGATGCATGGCTGTGAAAATGGGTTGGTTGTTCTCCAGCTGCTCTGTTTTGTTATGGTTCCTGAGTGCTCTGGAAAGTAGATGGCAAAAGATCCTTGTGCGAGCAGAGACCTGGAGTGAGACAGAGTGGAGAATCAAATATGAGATTACATGCCTTTGCCCTTGTGTGAATTCATTTTATGACTAAACGTTTATGCAGTTGTATTTGCTAAAGTCTGTACTAAAAAAAATCAGCCTTCAAAGGTTTTCCACATTTAAATGCTAAATGTGTGTGAATGAATAACATTGACGATATCCCCCAGACCACCCGGCTACCCCAACATGTCCCAGGGCATGATGGGAGCAGGCTCCGGCTATGGCCCTGGGATAAACAGCATGCATGGAATGATGAACCAAGGAGGGCCCGGACCATACCCAATGGGAGGCAATATGCCCAACAACACTCCTGGTAAGAATTTTTTCAATAGTATTTTTTTTATACAACTTTTTTTTATTGCCCAATGATAATCTATACACAATCACATTTTTTTCTCTTAATTACATAGGAATGCCTCCCGGTTCAGAATTTGGCATGGACAAAATTAACCAAGCCCCGAAGATGAACAACAAAGTAGACGGGACTCCCAAATCTGAATCCAAAAAGGTAAAGCTCTATTATTTAGCTATGTGTAGCATTGTAATTTAAATTTGCATAATGGTTTGTTGTCTTGTGTTAGAAGTCAAGCTCTTCCACAATTACCAATGAAAAGATCACCCGGCTGTATGAGCTTGGCCCGGAGCCGGAGAGAAAGATGTGGGTGGACCGATACCTGGCCTTTGCTGAGGAGAAGGCCATGGGCATGAACAACCTGCCCGCTGTGGGACGCAAACCTCTCGACCTCTTCAGGCTCTACGTGTCTGTGAAGGAAATAGGTGGACTCACACAGGTAAAAAAAAATAAAAAATGTTAACAACACTACGTCTGCATTAGTATAGTGGCCATATTTGCACACAGACTAAAAATCAAATCTTTATCTCATTTCTGGAGTTATCAGATTTGTGAAATAAATGTCATGTAAACAGTTATATCTGATTTCTTCTTGACTGTTCACATTTGTGCAGGATTTTAATCAGTTATTTTATGCATTGAAATACTATAATGTGATGAAATTAGTTATTTTTTTTGGTAGCCATGTAAATACTCCGTGTCCCACCTTTATTTTAGCTTTTTATGTTGCTATTGCTGTTGTATTAAACCCTCATTTTATTTGCCTTTAGGTCAACAAGAACAAGAAATGGCGAGAACTAGCTACTAACCTGTGGGCACATCTAGCAGTGCGGCTAGTTCACTGAAAAAGCAGTACATCCAGTGTTTATATGCCTTTGAGTGCAAGATCGAGAGAGGAGAGGATCCGCCACCCGACTTTTTCAACACTGACAATAAAAAGAACCAGCCCAAGATCCAGCCCCCCAGTCCAGGTGAGTTGTGACCATAGATTGTATAAAGAAGTGGACTAAGTTGAATATGACATCAGCCTTAGCGTTAAGAAAGAAGGCCCCTTATATCTTGATTTATGGACAAAATAAAACTCTAAGATTATGTAGAGTGAGTTAATACAGATATTTTAAGACCAAAATGAATCTCCCAACAGTTAGTTTTTTGTCCGACTTTTTTTTCAATAGAAAGCAAATTGGAGCCAGAGTTCATCAAACCAGAAGCGCGTCCATGCTCACTTCCTATTTGGAACACTGAGGCTAGCATGTTAGCTATGTCTATTTATATTTACAGTCTATGGTTCTGACGCACGCCGCTTTACATCCCATTACATTCTCCACACTCCACTGGGCCCACATCACCTCCCTATAAAGTATTCTGTTTTATTGTATCCTATTAATTGCGCGAAAAGCCATTGTAGGAGCTCCGTTTGTCATATTGGACGCTGCCATCCTTAGTTAATTCACCGGCGCTTTAGTGTGTATTGGCAGAGTTGTAAACGAGATGTGCACAGCTGTATTTCACAAAGAGGGCGCGCGGATTGCCCCGGACACCTCCATTTCTTTGGGGAATACTCTGTGGCATTTGCACACAACGTGACGGAAAGGCTTTCAGGCTCTTGGAGCATGCCGAATCCTTCAATAGACTCTGAGTACGCGCTGTGTAAACTGGAGTGTCATGGGGGAAGTGGGGAAGCTATTTTGGGAAGAATTGGTAAGGTAAAAAATGCTGCAATGTCATGTACCTTTGCAGAATCCACATTAGCTGGATGATTATTTTGTAATAAAAAGTAACTAAGTGGAAAATGTTGTTATTACTATTACATTGATTCATTTGTTTGATTCAATGTCAAGTGGTTTGCTGGCACTTTATCTGATTTGCAAAGAGTCTACCTGAATACACTGCTTCTTATTTGAACAGGAGTATAATGAACATAATAAAAATAACTTGATATCCGATTTGACCAAGGTTAGGCCTGTCATAGTCTTACCTTATTACATTCAAATAATATAACTCTCCCATTATTGTAAAGAAATTCTACACATGATAAATATTGAGCCTCAAAATATATTGTTTGGCTTTCATATATTGAATGATAAGTGCATCCACCAATCCATTTTCTTTGCTTATCTGGGGCCGGGTCGCGGGGGCAGCAGTCTTAGCAGGGACTCCCAGACTTCCTTCACCCCGGAGACGATAGGTTGATATAGAAATTATCGTGACAGGCCTAGCCAATGTTGTAATATTATCTAAGATGTAGTTTTTCCACTATTTTGCAATCCAGATTTTTGTTAGCCAAGATATTACAATATTTTATGCTGAAACAAGCAGCCCATGATTTGTGTATGGATAGTAATGAACAAAGTGGTCAGCGTGTTCATTCCTCCTTTCATACTTCTTTCGATAATGGTATTTTTTTGTCATTATTTAGAATAGACTTAAAATTTGTATTTTGCTTTGTGCCTAGTCACCCTCAGTCGCTCATGGCTTGTCTTGTGGAAGCCGTTTGTTTGGGAGTCTCCTCTGTCATCTGTAACTGCTGCCAGGAGTGACCACGTGCTGCCCTGCTCTGGCCTCAGCCCAGACTCGGCAGACAGGCTGGGGGCACTGACTCAGCACGAGGGGGGTGCTACACGAGGCGTTGGGTGCCTGTCAGCTGGTGTCTAGTTAGCAGGGCAGGGAAAGCCATGGAGGGCTGCTTTGGCCATAGTGCTGCTCCATCACCACGCTGTCCTCTGTCTGTGGTGCCTTGGGCTGCATGCACAAAGCTCCCTGGAGTCAAGAGCTGAGGCAGATGTGATGAATGGAGCTGATGGTGTTGATTTGTTTGTGCCTTTGGTCATTTTTATTAGCTAATTTTTAAGACATTTTCAATAGCGAGAATATAATTTATGCGTGGGCATTACAATATTCAATGCTTGCTCATCTACTTATTGCACTAAACTGACTCTTGTAAGATTTAAGCCATGTTATAATGTTGTTACCTCATCACAAACATCCCCCAAGTTGTTTTTTGTTTCATTCACACATGTTCACGTAATCCTTTATTATTAGTCTGTCTCAATCTTCAAAGCTCAAAATGTTCTGCCCTTCTGCCTTGTGTTGTCTGTCATGAAGCTATAGTTTTCAAGTTACCAACTACCTTTTACCTTAAATTCAGTACAGACTGGCAATTCCAGGACTGAAATTATCTAAATGAATCTAATGAAGGTGTCTGGGACAGTATTTTCTGTTTGAGAGAAGCTCAGACTGAGCCGAAATATGCAGCATTTGTGTTTAAACATGTGTGAATGAAACAAAACAAAACTCCAGGTATATTTTTGATCAGGAAACATTACAGTATTTAAGTAATTGTCAAAGTTTATTGATCCATAGTGGAAAATACTTGGACACTGTGGCTCACACATCACAATATATTATAATAACACAGAGAAAAAATACAGATGGTAATAATACATTCTAAATAAGTAGATATAATATAAATTCTAAATGAGTAGTGAATGTTGTGTACCAGACAGTGCTATTGTTGTTACGGTTACGCATATGATTATGCACTGACCCAGCCTCTGTACTGCTTGTTGGTGCCTACTCAAAGTTAGTAAAATGTGCATGAGTGTGTACAAAAGTCACATGACTTCTCTCTCTCCTTCTGACTCTTTCTATCATGCTATTTTCTTCACCCTCATGAGACACCCCCTCCCCTCCCTTCATCTTTGGAGGGAAATCCCTGCCCGCGGGGAGGGGGAGGGGCCTTGGTGTGTGTGTACATGAGCGCTACAGTGGCTGATGTGTGAAAATGTGAATAAGTGTGACCTGCCGGTGACCCCGCTGTGTGTGCCAGTTTAATGAATGGGAACCTGTGAGTCATCAAATCTGCCTAATAGTGTCAAGTCCCTGGCTTAAGTTAATGATGAGCAACCAAAACAAAGTCACGTGTGCACACACATCACTACGTCAGTAATCTGTCAGAGCTAGGCCTCGCAGCATTGTTTCCTGGAGAGCCCACATTTGAGGAATGATGGAACGTGCGTTTGGGAGGGGGAGCGTGGGATTGGGATGATAAGCTAAAGGCTTCAACAGTTTGTTTTTTTATTTTTTGCTGGCTGTGCACTCCAAAACCAGTCGCCTTGACAGAAACCCAACATTGCTGCTGTCACAGCACTCTGGAATTTCTTAATGGGATTTTGCAATGCCAAAAGCGGCATGCTTTCTCAAAGCCCCCAGCAGTGCTCAGGCTGTCCTTAAGACTCCACTCCTTTCCTCTGATCAACCACCACCCTCGCCTCCCATTTCTTCACCAAAGAGATGCACTCTCAATCTCTGCAGTTTGCTTGTGTTGAGCTGTTGGAGTTGTCTTGCTTGAACATAATGGTATGGGAGTATTTCAGAATTTTTGTCACCGTAGTAGTGGTCCCAGATTTTATAATGCTGTTTACCTTCTTCCTAAAATATGCTGAAAGTGAGTAATTTGACATACAATCAGTGTTTATACCTTGGCAGAGACCTCGACTGTTGGGTTCAGTTTAAAAATGTGTTAAACCTGTTTTACAGCTGGTTCTGGATCACTCCAAGGTCCACAGACCCCTCAGTCCACCAGTAGTTCAATGGCAGAGGGAGGAGACCTGAAGCCACCAACCCCAGCCTCCACACCACATTCACAAATGCCCCCAATGCCCGGTGCAAGGTAGGGATCAGTTCTACTTCTCAGACAAGCCAGTATGGTCACAATTGTTTTTCTTTTTTCTTATTTTATTTCTTACCTTTTATACTGTATAAACAAGGCAATCTGTCTTTTGCAGAAGTAGTGTTAATCTTCAGGATCCGTTCGCTGATGGTGGAGATCCTGCATTCGCCAGAAGAACACCCAACTCTCAGGGCTATCAGCCTGGAATGGGTGGTCCAGAAATGATGAACCGGATGGGGTCCTATGACTCGAAGGACCCTTTTGGTGGCATGAGAAAAGGTAAGCTCTTTCACCAGGGTCATAAGCAGCAGTAGTTTGTCTCTTCTCACTGTGATGGCTCTATGTGCAGCTGGAGAGCAGTTCATGCAGCCAGGCCCCAACAGTGGAATGGGAGAGCAGTATAATCGGGGCCCCCCTGGTCCTATGGGGAACATGCAGATGGGCCAGAGGCAACAGTACCCTTATGGATATGAGCGAAGGTAAACATTATACCCCTGAGTATTGTTTTTGACTGTTATCACTAAATGGGCTTTACTGTCAAAGTTCAGTGGGATAATAAGATGTTGTGGTGCCACAGACAGGAACCAGGCATGGGCCCTGACGGCAGCATGGGGCCTGGAGGTCCACAGCCCAACATGATGCCTTCTGGAGCCGACGCAGGGATGTACTCACCCAGCCGTCCCCCACCACAGCAGAGGTCTGCAACTCATTGTTTATTTGCTATATTTGAAAGATCTGTTAAATCCTTTTGTATTTGTTGTCATCTGTGGCAAAAAAATTTAATGATGAATGTTGTGTTTATTAGGCACGAGTCCTATGGAAACCAGTACTCTGGACAAGGAGCTCCCCCTGGTGGCCCATACCCAAATCAACAGCCAGGAATGTATCCACAGCAGCAACCGGTGAGAACATTATGTTCAGTGAAAGCCAGTGTGTTCTGGGCCTTCATTTTTTACTTTCAAGCTGTTTCTAAAATATTATATTTTGTTATTTAAGATTAACAACGTGTAATATTTTACTTATCTCACATATTCAATTATTAATGGAACAAAATTGTAAATATTAAATAAGCTGTATAACATTACAGTAATGCATTGTGTTGTCTACTTTTAGAACTACAAACGTCCTGTAGACGGGGCCTATGGTCCTCCAGCTAAGCGTCATGAGGGTGAGATGTACAATGTTCCGTACAGTGGTCAGCAGCAACCTGGGCCCCAGTCATCAGGGCCCCAGGGCCAGCAGGACATGTACAACCAGTACAACACATACCCCGGAGGAGAGCGCAGACCGCCTGGCCCACAGAACCAGTTCCCCTTCCCCTTTAACCGGGACAGGGGTCCAGCCTCTGCAGGACCCAACACTCAGTCACCCATGGCTCCCCAGATGATGGGCAGCCCCATGCCTTCTGGCCCAGATGGCCCCCAGGGACCTATGTGGCAGGGTCGCAATGAGATGAGCTTTTCCAACTTCCCTAACCGGCAGGGTCCACCTGTCCCAGGTCAAGGCCCCGGCTTCCATGGCATGAATCGCTCGGAAGACATGATGTCATCAGACCAGCGCATGAATCATGAAGGCCAGTGGCCCGGGCACATGAACCAGCGGCAGCCCCCATTTGGTCCTGGAGGTTCTGGACCACCCATGTCCCGACCTCTGCCCTCCACCTACCAGACCTCTCAGAACCACATTCCTCAGGTGTCCAGCCCCACACCCATGCCTCGTCCCATGGAGAGCAGGACGTCCCCCAGCAAGTCCCCCTACATGCACCCGGGCATCAAAGTGCAGAAGGCTGGTCCCCCGGTACCCGCCTCCCACATCGGACAGACCCCAGTGCAGCAGCCTCTCATCAGGAGAGATGTGGCCTTCCCCCCAGGCTCTGTGGAGGCCTCCCAACCCCATCTGAAGCCCCGCAAGAGGCTCACCATGAAAGATATCGGTACGCAATCATAATTAAAAGTCTCATTCATTATGAGCCTACTTTACTGCAATTGTAGCCATAAAACACAACAATTAGATGGTTATAGCTTAAATCTCATTTTTGTGTGTTGTGCTTTTAGGTACTCCTGAAGCCTGGAGGGTCATGATGTCCCTCAAGTCTGGTCTACTCGCTGAGAGTACCTGGGCTTTGGACACGATTAACATCCTGTTGTATGATGACGGCAGCATTTCCACTTTCAACCTGTGTGCTGTGAGTTCTCCCTATATGTTCTAATGTTGTGTTTCAGGATGACAATATGTAATATTCAGTGATGTGTTAATATATGTGTAATACACAGTTAAGTGTTGGTTTTAGCTCTGTTTATGACTCTGCATTCTGTTTTTCAACAGCTGCCTGGGTTCCTGGAGTTGGTAGTGGAGTACTTCAGGCGCTGCCTCATTGAAATCTTTGGCATCTTAAAGGAGTATGAAGTGGGAGACCCCGGTCAACGCGCCCTTCTAAACCCGTTTGCAGAGGACGTGGACTCTGATGATGAGATCCCAATGCCTGAGGGAGGGGACATGGACACTGATGAGGAGGAAGAGGAGGATGAGGAGGAAGAGAAGGCCCGCCCAGTCGTCCAGGTGAAGGAGGAAGCGCACACCCCCCTGAGCAAGTCTGCAGAGGACCAAGAAGACCACAAGGAAACAGAGTCTCCTGTTAAGGAACCATTAAGCTCTACCTCAGGGTCTCAGGACCCCAATGTCCACGTGGAGAAGCCCAGGCAGGCCAGCAAATACGACAAACTGCCCATCAAGGTGGTCCGAAAGAGGAACCCCTTTGTGACAAAACATGCATCCAAGCTGAGGCAGCTGCAGAGCTTTGACAGTGGACTTGTACACTGGAGCATCGGCGGAGGGGACACTACAGAACACATCCAGACCCACTTTGAGAGCCGAATGGACCTTTTCAAACGGTGCAAGCGCACAGCGGCCCCTGAGGCCCGAAAGAAAGTTCCAGTACCTCAGGCAGCTGTGGAAAGCCCTGACCCAGCCAAGCCCAACGGTGAAGACAAACCTCCACAGCCCTCTCAGCCCACTGACACAGAGCAGAGCCCCCTGTCCACCACAGCGCCTGTCACCGCCACCATTGACGACGTCCTGTCCGCACGCCCCGGCTCTGTCACAGAGGAGGCAGTGCGTGGAGGGACGGAGGAGCAGAAGGAGAATGGAAAGTACCTTTTCAGCATTAATCCAGAGCTCCAAAGCCGCCGGAATGTTAAAATCCTGGAGGATGAGCCACACAGTAAGGATGAGACGCCCCTGTGCACGCTGTCCGACTGGCAGGACTCCCTGTCCCGCCGCTGCATCTGTGTGTCCAACATTATCCGCAGCCTGTCCTTTGTCCCAGGCAATGACCTAGAGATGTCCAAACATCCAGGATTGCTGCTGCTCTTGGGGCGTCTGGTCCTCCTGCACCACCGGCACCCCGAAAGGAAGCAGGCACCTGTCACCTACGAGAAGGAGGAGGACGAGGACGAGGGCGTGAGTTGCGAGCGTGACGAGTGGTGGTGGGACTGTCTAGAGGTGCTGAGGGAAAACTGCCTGGTCACATTAGCAAACATCTCAGGTCAGCTGGACCTGTCCATCTACTCGGAGAGCATATGCCTGCCGCTGCTGGATGGCCTACTCCACTGGGCTGTATGTCCCTCTGCAGAGGCCCTGGACCCCTTCCCAACGCTGGGGCCCCATGGCTCCCTCTCCCCCCAGAGACTGGTCCTTGAGACTCTCAGCAAGCTGAGCATCCAGGACAACAACGTGGACCTGATACTGGCCACGCCGCCCTTCAGCCGCCTGGAGAAGCTGTACGGCTCGCTGGTGCGTCTGGTGGGCGAGCGAAAGGTGGCCGTGTGCAGAGAGATGGCCGTGGTGCTGCTGGCTAACCTGGCGCAGGGTGATAGTCTGGCAGCGCGGGCCATAGCTGTGCAGAAAGGCAGTGTGGGAAATCTGCTGGGCTTCCTGGAGGACAGTCTGGCAGCCACTCAGTACCAGCAGAGCCAGAGCTCGCTGCTGCAGATGCAGCACCACTTTGAGCCCACCAGTGTGGACATGATGCGGCGGGCAGCCCGCGCCTTGCACGCTCTGGCCAAAGTGGAGGAGAACCACTCAGAGTTCACTCTGTATGAGTCGAGGCTACTGGACATCTCTGTTTCCCCTCTTATGAACTCTATGGTGTCCCAGGTCATCTGTGATGTACTGTTTCTGATTGGCCAGTCATGACAGCCGGGGACAGTGTCCGCTCTGCCCTTCTGTTCCCTACGCCCACTTTCTGTGTGAGTGAGTGTTTGTGAGTGTGGCTGAGCACTAAACTGTCCTTTTCTTTTTTAATTTATGCAAAATAACCTCGGATTCCACTGTCTTTACCCCTGCTTCTCACTAAAGGAAGGAATATGATGAAGTAGTTGTGGATTTTATGATAGATGCTGGCACAGAAGAGCAGACTGGGACCCAGGTGTAAGACAGAGTGCACCGCCCTGCAGAAAGTACTTGTTTTTTAATGAAAAGAAAAATCTCCAGAAAAAAGAAACTGTAACCAAAGTTGCTGTCTCGTTTACAGTGAGTTTGGGGGATCCATGCGCTCTCCTCTTCCTTTGGGGGTCGGGAGGAAGAAGGGTGTGTGAACTTGACAATATTCTGGTTCATGTTGGAGGCTATAGACTCAGACTGTGGTGTGGTATCATTGCTGTAACTTTGGATGCTCTATACTCAGCCCCACAGGAACCACATTATTGGCTGTGAACAGATGACTGTCATGGGAGGCCTGTGCAGTAGATTGTAGAACTTTTTCTGTACTGTACACCTTAAAAACTGTAAACATACTGTAATAATACTGTTTCACACTGAGATACGCTGGCTTGGCAGCAAACTGTAGTTTTTAAACAGTTTTAGTTCATGTCAAGAGAGAAAACGGCTTTCCCCCAAAAGTATGGTGAACCTACAACACCCCGACCTCTTGTCCCTTGATTGTATGACTTGACCCTTATATTAAAGTCACCTCTTTAGGACTGGTCCTCAGCTCTAGATGCAGTCCAAGCTGCAGTGTATATATGATGTTGTACATTACACTTCTCTCTTCTTCTCATCTTCTGTTGCTCTTCACCATTTTTAATCTTGAACGAGTTTCCTGCATCAAGTAGGCCATGAGACTACTCTCTGCCCCACCCTCTGCTCCTCAGGCTGGTGCTGTGGGCAGAGTAGGTGGGGGTGTGGTCTTCAGTCTGGGTGTAGATTGTAATAACCAATCATGTCTGCGGTTCCATTTGGGCTCTTTCACAAAGACAAGCTAGACCTTGATGAAGAAATAATTTGATTTTGTTTATTTTTTTTTTCCAGTGATGCGGATTCTGCATATTTGTATTTCAGATGATGTAGCTAAAACTTGATGTAAATTCCTCCCTTTTTCCTTTTTTGCTTAATGAATATCATTTATTCAGTATGAAAATCTTTATACTATATGTTCCACGTGTTAAGAATAAATGTACATTAAATCTTGGTAAGACGTTTGCTGTGGATTTATTTTCTGACTGGCTAAACAGGACAATAACATGAAAATACTGAATTATAGTTGAATACTAACCAAGTTGAATACAAATTGGCTGTACAGTATACAGATGTTTCAATTTCATATTTTACCATATCCTAATAATGATGGTTAGAGGATGTTAATTCAACAGAAATCTGTTATGGAGCTCAACAGTAACCGGCTACTCCAGTTTCGGAAATGTTTTTCACATACTTTCCGAACATTTAAAATATTATGGTAACTAATAAGCGTGTAAGAAAAAACTGATTCAGTGATATATCATGATACTTCATTTTCACAAAAAAATCATTAGTTACATTCACTGTTGTCATGATTAAAAAAAAATAATTTCATACAATTGTTTTCTTGAAGGTGTAGCTGACTATATCAACCATATCAGCCATTAAATCGCAATATATCAACCAATGTTTTACTATCGGGATATATCTTGATATATTGAATTGTGACATGCAAATTAAGATTTGTATCATCAGACTTAAGGCCATGCGTGTGGCAGTTTAAGCTTTTCAAATTGTAATTTTTATATATATATACACACACACCTTTAGATTTTATACCTGTAGTTACAGCTGGTATAGTTTCACAAGCAGACACTGAACAAAAGCAACTGCTGTATTTTGCAAGTCAATGTTAGGATTTTTTATTTTTTTTTATTTTTCTACATTAAAACAGCAACTAAAAACTTTGGAAGATATAATTGTTAGCATAATAATCCTAATGCATCTGCTGTGGGACCACCTGGAGTTGCGTATGTGAGATCTGTACCTGTATGCTAAACCATAACAGTATGTTTCCATCACTTTACATTTACACTGGATTTTAATGAGTGATAACATCCAAATCACAGCTGTCAGAACAGAAGGTCAAAACACCCCGGTTTACAATGTTCCAGACAAATTAAGCAAATAGAAGTGTATTTGCAGATACCTGAAGTTGTCTCAGGCTTAGAAGACATCTGTTGGATTTGAGGAATCATCATGAAAAGTAAATTTACACATGCTGCCGAAGATGTATGCTACAGGGATTGGCGGTGTTACAGCGCTTTATAAAACATAGTTGCCTCTGGTGGAAGAAGTAATAGATTTTGCCACTTAAGTAAAAGTACAGATACCGAAACAAAAAATACTCAGGCAAAAGTATTACATGAAAAAGTCTACTCTAGTAAAAATATTACAGTACACGTTTAAAAATGCATTGATTTTGTTCAATAGAAGCAACTGAATCGGTCGTGTTTTCCTACCCTTTTCTCTTTGTATACTTTTATTTGCTCAAATTATGAAAATGTTAAATGAACTCATTCTTTTCAGCAGGTCTCAAACAATACTTTTGAGTCCAGTTTTAAAGAAAAAGTGTAGAAAGTACTGATACCTGCTCTCAAATGTAGTAAAATAAACAAAAAGGACCCACTTTAAAATGTACAAGAGTAAAAAAAAAAAATAATAATTCAATCTGTACTTGTTACCAGTAGTGGCTACAAAGCTGGCAGCCAAATCATTACCACTCAAGTACATTTTATTTCTAATGAGGCAAGTGAAGCCATTAAAATCCAAGTCATGACAACCAAATCCAGTAAACAAAATCATGTGTTTTGAAATGTCATATTCAGCACTAGGTGTAGAATATTTAAGGTTGGCCAATTAAAATGTACAAAACTTGCTTATTTTTGGTGTAAAATACAAGGAGGAAAAAAATAAAAAAAATACATATCCATCTATATCTGGAGAAAAAAAAGTGAGAAGAGTCAAAAAAGTTTGGTTTTTTTAGGCGCAGCATGTTTATTTAAAAATGACACCTTGATGGAACAATTGTGAATGTAGTTTTCAGATTATTAACATTTTGTTTAAGCATCTTCATCTCAATGTGTAAACAGCCTATTATAGGGTTATTAGTTTTCTAAAAATAATCCTCATATGGTCCAGGTGAGAAGAGTAACTTTACTACAATCAGATGGCAGAAAGTCCACTTAGAAGCACTAATGGTACACACTTTCAAAACGATCTTCCAACAACTCCAGCTCCACCTAGAAAAGAAAAACAATTTATATACAAAAACTACTTAAGACCAAGGTCAAATCAAATCACCCGTTAGCTGATTGGATCGTATCCTCATCCACTTGCTCTTCAGGAGAAGACCTGGCTGCCGTGGCCTGAAGGATTCCGTGTGGCGAGGAGGGAAAGTGTACATTTTGGCTGGATAAGTCAAGGGCTCCTTTGATCTTTGTGTGGTAGTGGTCTGCAATGGCCTGTGTGTTGTAGTCTGCTTCAAAGGCTGCTCATCCCCCAACCGTTTAATGTTATGACCCCCAAACATGCGCGGGATATAGTGGATTCTAGTGGGGGCAAAGCGCTGGCCCGGGCCTAGTCTCTCACCCTGTAGCTCCAAACCACTCATGTGCACGGGGGCCAGCTTTACACCAGTTTGGAGTGAAACTAGCTGAGGACTCTGGTTGTAGGCAGACCCCTGGCGAGACTGGTAGAGACCAAACTGCTGAGAGATTGGAGGCTGGTATTGTTCATGGAGTGGAGACACTACAAGCTTGGTTTGAGGCTGAGGGTATGTTTTTTTTCTAGAGCCACCATTTGGATACACTTTCCTACCACGCGAGAGACCTGATGTTGCCCGGACATATTCCTTCGGTGGAATTAAACCACCATTCCCATTCAGATTCGTTAGCTGAGTGCTCACATCTAAACCAGGCTTTTGGTAATTAGCCACATCGTGGGGTTTCCAGGCTGCAGGCTGGTGGGACCCTGACTGGGACAAGAGGCTCTGCTTAGAGTTATGGCCCTCTGGTTTACTGTATGTATACTGGCTAGTATGCAGACCTTCCTGCTGACCAGACAATGTCTTAACAACTCCAGTGTTAGAAGAGTCACGCTTGCTTACAGAACTTCCACTAGCAAAGGAAGGAGACCGGCTGAGGGTATGTGTAGGTGGGACTTTTCCATAAATGGTGTCCGTAGTGTACTTTTTGGGGTTTGTTTGGGGGCCGTGGTAGTACTTGTGTGGATTGGTCTGTGAGGCAGTGTGGGTGTTCCATTGGTTGTACAGTCCCTGGTTAGACCCACTGTCTATAGAACTGCTCTTGACCACAAAGGCCTGTCTGAATTCATCCTGGGGTCTGCTGCCTTCAAATCTGCCACGCACACGCACATGCGAGAGGCCAACTGGTGAGTTGGTGTGTTCTCTCCTGGAGCCCTCACCTACAACAGACAAACATGGATTTAGTCTTCCACAAAGACTATCAAGCTCCAATTAGTCACAGCAAAATGCAAATCGTTAATTGGAAAAGTTTTTTTTTTTTTTTTTGGTAGTTTCCCTTTGATAGAAAATCCAATCTTTTGAACAAGACAAACCATACATTCGCGTATAGCCCCTAGAATGTGTCCACAGCTGTTGTGGCAAGATAAAGGACAGCTAGGACTATATTCTAAAGCTTAAAAATGTAGGTCAATACTAGGATCTTTTTTCCCCCCCACTTACCCTTTCTTATTGTTTTATTGTTTTTTATTTTATCCTTTCCCTTTGCTTTCAAATATTAAACAGTTGTATTTGTACTTACCGTCCTGTAAAGCCCATGAACAGCAGACATGCACCGCTTGAAGAAAGCAAATGAGCAGGATCCTGTGAACACCGAACAACAGGTGAGTGCAGTATAAGCGCTGACAGTAGCACCTCGTTATCCAGCACTTAGCGCACGGACTCACCCCAAATTAATTCCACAAGTCATTTCTGTGTGCCGTGCCAAGCAGCCGGGTGTCCCAGTCCCCCGCGGCCCTGAAAGTCCCTGCGGAGACGGAGGACACACCGAATTTAACCAACACGTGCTCAATCACCGCTGATGTCATGATTGTCTTCAGGTGCATGTCCCAGGTATGTGTCCCATGTCCCCGCTCTGTCCACTGTCGTCTGTGTCTCTGTGCTATCGAGTCTCGACGGAATATTTTCATCAACACACCAAAACCAAAGGAAGTATACAGTTTGCATAGTAGATTTTTCAGTTATTCGGTCTTATATTTATTTTGCAATATGGTGCAATAACTCTGAGTTACCAGAAGATGTCAGAATTACTTCAGTATCAGAAGCTGAAATGACGTTTGCGCACCCATGTGGATTATAATAATAATAAAGTAAAGAGATGAACTCAGAAACCTAAATATAAGATGGTTCTTACATTTAGTCTACTCCATAGAAGGCCTATTTGTAAACGTTTTAAGTTTAAACCTTAAGTATAAACAATGAGAGGAGGCTGAGGCCAGTGGGGTGCATGGCGAAAAGAATATCAAGTTTCAGTGAATGTGATAATTGTCAGAATTGTCATATTATTAGGTAAATCATCTGTTTTATTTCTGATGATTCATTTTGCTGCATGTCATTTAAATAATCTTAAAAGTCCAGAGCTTCTAGTCTGACTTTGGTGTGCATGTGAACATAGCCAGTGTTTCCCATAGGTGAGCTGTTGTGGCACAAATAATTTTCATTTGAATAGGGCTTATTTGCTTATTTCTCTTAGTTTGTATAAATGTCATGTATTGTCTACATTACCTTTAAGCTGTCCTTTGTGCCTATAGTCACTTTTAAATGCTTCTGATAATACAATGTACAAAGTATGATTGTGATGATTTGTGATGGCAGTATAGACCACAGATATAGTAAAACTGAATTTGTTGCACCTGCATAACACTTTGTAATATTGATTCACTGATTTATTATTAAGCCTTGCTCAAATAAACTGTTCACATTATGTCCAAAAGCTATGATCATGAACCTAAGATATTTAAGCCATTCAGAAGGTGTCAGTAAAGGGAGAGTAACCATGCACAAAGGTCCTCCTCAAAATGCATTTATATATTAAGAATTTTGTCCTCATTTCTCACAAATATTTAGGCCTACATAGGCCTAAGTCTAAGACTAAATGTTTTGACATATTAAGGTATTACCTATTCTATTTCACCATGTGCTTGCTGCAGAGGCCTATGCTATTCCATTGCATCAGCTGTGTACATTATAGCAGTAGACATTATTACTTCTCACTTGGTCACCTCTTGAGGACAAATATTTCTGCACCAAAAGTCCTACAAAGGTTGTTTTTTTTTTCTTTTTCTTTTTTCTTTTTTTTTTTACTTTAAGATGCACCTTTATGAACCATTAGTGTTGAAGCATGTTCAACTATAGAATGTAGAATGGTATGTTACTAGGCCTGTCACATTAACACATTTTGAAGCACAATATATCGCTACAGAGAAATATTGCAATAAATGTTAATAAAACTTTGTGCTACTACCACAACGCAGGACAATCCCAGTAAACTTAGTTTTAAACATACGGTATAATTAAAAGGAGCAACAAATAAATAGCAGAATGAACCAATAATTAGCAACAGAATAAATTTTTTCAACCTCTAAAGCTTAAATTTTACTGTTTGTACTGTCTAACTTTTTTGGTTGGGGATCCTCCACCTGCTTGTCTCCAAGGAGTTTGTATTTCCTTGAATATTCCACAATGAGGCTTTAGTACATTTACTTACTTACTTCAGTTACAGTTTTTATTAATTGCTCAAAAGTACATGGATTCCTATTGTGAGCGGGGTCGCCTCTTCACAGATCTGACTTGTAACTTGGATTTGTGGTTTCACCTACTTAACTCCTTTGAGAATTAAGAGTTTTTAAGTTAAAGCCATAAAGAGGAACATTCCAAGCAAAGCAATAGCATCCAAAGCAGGTGGCGGTGCCTCCAACAGAAATGTTATGTGCACCTTTTAATATACTGATTGTATTCAAAACAAATGGCCACTTTTTTAATGGCAAAGTTCAATAACTTTCCATTTTAAAGGTTTTATATTACTCAAAACTGACTCTTATGAGCTTTAAGCATGGCTAAAATCATCTAAATTATTTTACTGAAGGTGTATGGATTTTAAAAAAGTAGAACACTTCCTGTATTACCACATGACATCACAAGGTGTTTTCAGTTTGCGAGAAGAACACAGCCTAAATATGCAGGGTTTGTGTGTTAAACATGTGAATGAAACAAAACACAACTCCAGGTAACTCCAGGAAACCACATTATAACATAGATCAGTAAATAGTGTAATATGGGCCTTTTTAAGTATGCCCAATCTCAACTTGGCTCAGTTAGACTACTTTCCACATTATTTAACACAACCTGCACAAAAACACAAAAAAATCCATGATATATTGAACATGGAATTTAGACTAGTTTATCTTGGTGACCATGTGGGCTGCCCAGCATGACCATGGCCCGTCCCGCTCCTCAGGGCCATCTAGAGGACACGCCCGGTGGTGTCCTGGCACTCTTCAGCGCTCTCGCATCCCTCTTCCAGACCGCGCCTGGTCAGGGCTGTTCATTACGGACCGTCCCCCGCTGCTTGAGGAAGTGCCGCGACGAATGGATGTGTCACTTCCTCTCCCCGCTTGCCGTTCCATAAGTCCACATTTATTTAAGCAAGTGATCAGCGTTTTGTCTGTGCATCTATCATAAAGGCACTGTGCTGCTGATGGTCAAATTCTTTCTCCTCTTCTCTGCAGGAAGTGGTGACAGTGACCAGATGGATGTGGTGGCTTGGATCAAACACAATTTCCTGACAAAGGAAACTGTGGGTGTGTTTAAGATTTTTTTTTTTTCAAGTAGACTTTTGCAGAACTCTCTCACTCAGATAGACAGCAGGACAAGATAGGCTGCATAAAAGACCTGTAAAAGCAGTGGGATCGGTCTTGTTAATAATTTATTAACTGGACAAACTAGGCACAGCTGCTATTTGGTCACTGGCATAAAACTGGGTGACAGCTCTGTTGGCAGAGTGCTCATCCTGTGATCCAAATGTCGGTTCGAGTCCCATTCTCACTGATGAATACTGTTGTTGTGTCCTTGAACAAGATTCTTAATCTGCCCTGTGTCTGGTGTGTTAATGGGCCCATGACAGGTTTGACTATTAATTTTATAAAAACTCAATTATATTCAAGATTTTTTCAGAGACATTTACACTCATTTTCTCAATTTGTCAATTATTTTAGGCTTAAAATTTTACTTTCTGGATTGAAATTTTTAGCCAAGCTGGCATCACCTTGTGCCTCCACTCAATTTCATTTCTCTCCAGTGACTAGGTCAGGAATCAGAATACACTAGACGGTTTACAAGAACATCGGAAGTTGTAGACTGCACACCGGCAAATCAGCGAGGAGCTGTGAAGCGCCTGTCTGGGTCCCTTTTGTGGTACAGCACAACAGTAAACAAAGTGGTCGAGATCGATGTAGATGAAGCCATACATTCTGTGTTGGCAACGATTCCCGAGATCAAGGATTTAAAGCCGGAACAAAGAGAATGTTTGTTGAATTTTATCAAGAGGAAAGATGTTATTACCCTTCTTCCTACAGGATTTGGTGCATTACATACATCACGACCAAATAACAGAGATTGGTTAAATATAAAAAGTACCCACCTACCATAGAACAAGCGAATTCTAATGCTGCGAGGTCAGATGATTTCCAAGTGAAACGGCTGATGAATCAGGGTAGGAAGTCATGACATCACACTAGGGAATTCCAACATTATTATCTAGCAAAACTTCTCTAATGTACACACACACACACACACACAAAAAGAAATACAAGAAAAGACATTTTATTTTATTCATGTTTAAAATATTTGAAAAAAAAAAAAAAGGTTTCTAGCATGTAAAATTTTTTGGACAAAATTCTCCCTAGTGTGATGTCATGAATATGTCTTAGAACGCTCTAATTCCTGTAACTCTCAACATGTTTTTCAACTTTTCTTCACAAATTGCTTCTTGCAGTTCCACCATTTTACCCAACCATGTTTAATGCCTCATATTATAATGAGAATTGTATATTTATAAACTGCAGAGGATGTGATTAATTCTTTTGTCTATCTTTATTATTCCAGCTTCAAATGACAGTGGAGACCTAACACTGTAAAATTCCTAGGCCTGTGCACATGTCTAACATAGATCACAGTATAAATGAGACGTATTCATCAAAGCAGGTGACTCCTTTCTCCTTGTGGAATGTCATTTTTCTTCTTCATATCTCATTCATGCACATTGGGCTCATTCGCGCCTCCCTTCCACAGAGCACAGCGGGCTCTGACACCAATCTTCGATCTGCGATGACCTTTGACCTCCGGACAAGAGGACCACATGCTCATTTAAGGATCCAACCTCCCTGAAAGGTTACACAATATCACTATAATTTTCTATACAATATGTAGAGAGTGGATTGTTCATGCAGGCCTACTGTGTGATACAGCATATGATGTCTTACATTGCTTATATAGCAGAAATATTTGGGATTTGGAAATAATAATAATATGTAATTGCAGAATTGCATTATAATTTGTATTGATTATTTAATATAGAAAGAGGAGACAACAAGGTGCTAAGGTGTCTTTCATTTTATATCTACCTATAACTTTGGAACTGATCCTAAAACCTACTGAGTGGATAACAAAGACTTAAGTTGAGAGTATAGTGTGGACTACTGGTGACTTTACATCTACTATGATAGATTATGGTGTCAGATCAGTTTACCAATTCTGGTTTGTTACAAGGACCCTCGCTCCTGTAATTTACACATCAGTTATCTCTTTGCTATTATTGGAGGTAGAAAACTGATATATCTGGTTGGATATTTGCTTTTTTTAGCATATCAACTTTAGGGCTTAAATCTTCATCATCACGAGCCAGTATCTAGCTTCTTTATGGAAAGACATGTTCAGGTACTAAGTGGCCACTATTCAAAATGTGATTACATTATAGGTTAGCAGTAGAACAGAGTT